CCCCACCCGGCTCCCCACCCGGCTTCCCGGTCCCTCAGCGCTCCCCGGTCCCTCAGCGCTCCCCGGGCGCGAGATTCCTAAGGACACGGCGCCTCATTCCCGGGCTCTAAATCTCCACTCGCAAGCTGGGCACCGGGGAAAGGGCGGTGGGGACACTTCCAACGTGGAAGGCCAGCGGGAGCGAGACACTTGTTTATTTCATCGGCCTTGTTTACAGTACATTTTTATTCCCAAGCACACGCGGTCGTTCCAGGTCTTTGCCCCGTTAGGAAGTGTAAATCAATCGACGCCAAACCCTTCCTGGTGCACACAAAGAGACCAATCGTGCGCATGTGTCTAATCCTCCCGCAGCCTAGAAACAGGCAAGCGGGCGAGGCAGCCGGGCGCCGACGTCCTCTGCTGAAGGAGTGGAGAAGACCGACCCGAATGGTTGATTTATGCATGCGTTTTCGTTAACTAGGACTAAAAGTGGCTCCTGGCTCTTTTGGGAAAATGGAGAATGTGGTTGTTATCAATGGATGCCAATGACTTCTTGAAATGCTCAACTTGTACAAACAAAAAATGAAGAACTTTCTCCCCTTAATGTAGAAACACATGGTATTTTAAAAGTAGGTTTTCCATTATTGTAAAGACACTTTAATTTTTAAGATTAGATTTTTGTGAAAGATTCGAGGAAAAAGAGGGATAATGAATTTTGACTGGAGGCAATATATGGATTTTTACTATAGGCTAGAACATTTAGTACTTACTTGCTAAGGATGTTTCTAATTAGTAAAATGTATAAAGGTTGACAATTTTTAAGGTGACTCCTGCAAGAGTTATATTTAATCAATAGATGGTGTTTATTACAGTGAGCAGTATTTTTCCAGATTCTCATTTAAAATTTCCCACCCCTATTTGAAACACAATAATACTAAGAAAGAAAGGAAACAACTTGAATGGGGTTGAGGGGGGAATGTAAAAACTTGAAGAATAAGGTAGCATGTCCCTCACTCCAACCAGACAGCATCCATGGGAGATTTTTGGCTCATACTTAGCAGAAGTCTCCATCTAGAGCCCATGTAAACCAATGGAAATTCTTACTTGCTTTAACAGCACGCTATTCCTATTCATTTATTAATGTGGGCTAGCTGGGTTTTGTTTTTGTTTTTGTTTTTTTGTTTTTTTAAATAAAAAAACTTCCCACCGTGCAAAGTACCAGATGCTGGGACAGATCAGATACTAAGAATAACACGGTAAAATCCTTTCTGCTGTCACTCTGGAATGGGCCCAAACTCTTACCTTCCCAGATAATTTGCATAAACTCCCTGGAATGGGCTCAAGCTCTGACCTTCTCAGAAAATGTGCATAAACTCTCTGATAACTCCTTGTAATTCTTTCCTCTGAATACCTGGCACAGCTTGTCTATTCCACCCACTTTTTACTATTTCATACACTGCATGGCCATTTTTAAAAAAATATAAAGACTGCTTTAGGTTTGTAAATGCTTTAAATAAGTTATTTTCTTCAGCCCTCTTTGCAACCACATATGTTAAATGAAGAATAGTTGGCAGTTACTAGATGAAATCGACGCTCAGAGACATTCAGTTGCAGAGTCACAGGTTTCAAGATTGGTTTGAGGTCTACAATGATTTCTATGACCACAGACTCCTTCTCCTATTTATACAATCATCTGTTTTCACAAGTCAGTTGTCAGTTATCAGTTCTTTGAAGTCAGGGATTAGTTTTGTCTCAGCAACAATCTTAGTGCTGACATAAATAACAGTCAGGTGTGATCACTGATCATGGCTTTTAATGATTATGTATGTGATTACTGTGTCGACACTCATGTTTATCAACGTCTTTGTAACACCCTAGCATGATTTCAGTATTCTCATTTATCTTTTATTTTTAAATGGGTGTTACAGCAATTTTTATGTATGCGTGTCCCTCTCTTTATGATCTTTATTTGCCTCTTGAAAGCCCTAGATTATCTGTCATGTAAATTTTCCCAATTCGGGATCTGGTTGCATAGCCTCAATTAAATATGTTCACCCAAGTCCCACATTTCCTACTAATGTGACTTAGAAACTTACTTGCATTCTCCTTTTTTAACAAAATAATAAAAGATGCTGTGTATATTCTACTGAATTGTACCAAAGGAACAAAACATCTAGCTGTTCCATTGATTGGAAGGTTAAAGTGTTGTCAACACTCATCTGTACATTATAAAATCATAAAATATAAATTCTATGAAATTGTAGAATTATCAAATTCTCCACCAACCTTCCAACTAGTGGTTTTTGTGTCACTGATGATCATTGCTTACATACATTACTTCATTAGGGATTGCAAAGTTGTGATTTTCTAATTTAACTTTATTCTTGAGTTTATGAGTATATACCCTCTTCTAAAAAAGAAACAAATAAACAAAAATACTTTCCCTCACAAATTAGAGAATTCCCCTGAAACAGACACTCTATAAGAAAGGCAGGCTTGATTCTTAACCATTATCATCCATGTTTTAGAAATCTTGAATGGGTTCTAGCAAACTCGAAATGAATCCCTGCCGCCTTTGGAATATCATTTCCAAAACTGGAGTTTTGTATATTTGATGTATTTCAGTGCATCACAGTCATTATTCTTTTTGGTGTTTGAACTATCCCATCTTAGATGAGAAGGAGCTGCTTCCATAGACATTTTTGCATTTTGAACAAGTAGCCATGAACTTTACTGGCCTGGCTGTGATCAATAGCAAGGTATCCCATGCTTATCTAATACATTTCCAACTGCAGACCTGGAATTCATTATTTCTTTTGGAACCTTAATTTGTTTTCAGTGAAATTCATTTCCCATAATTTGGTTGCTAGTGGTGTTTTTTGCTACTAGTTTTATGCTTTTCAGTTATAAAGCAAGGAAACTTTAATTTCAGAAATATATATTAAAAGAAAAAAACTCACTTTCAAAGTATATTTTCAATTCAAATTAATGTTGACATATTCCATATTTTAGGATTATTTTTCCTTTGAGATACTCTCTATATAGTGTGAAATATTTACAAGTTTCCAAAGTCAGATATATCAAATAAGGCACATTGAGAGAGATAGCTCTCATTTCTTTCCCTTCCTCTCTTTGTAAGAAACAATTTTCATTGGATTTTGGTTTGCCCTTTTATTTATTTTTATTTTTTTTTAAATATAAGGAAAGACATATATGGGTACCTATTTTTGTCTTACAAAAAAAAAAAAAGGCGGCCCGGCGCGGTGGCTCACGCCTGTAATCCCAGCACTTTGAGAGGCCGAGGCAGGCAGATCACAAGGTCAGGAGATCGAGACCATGGTGAAACTCAGTCTCTACTAAAAATACAAAAAATTAGCCGGGCTTGTTGGCGGGCGCCTGTAGTCCCAGCTACTCAGGAGGCTGAGGCAGGAAAATGGCGGGAACCCGGGAGGCGGAGCTTGCAGTGAGCTGAGATTGCGTCACTGCCCTCCAGCCTGGGCGACAGAGCGAGACTCCACCTCAAAAAACCAAAACAAAAAAAAAGCGTGCAATTCAACATTTTATTACTCCAGTAGGCAGCCTCTAAATTGGGCCGTAAGACTTGATATCTGGCCCTGTATAATTCCTCTTTCTCAGTGTGGGATGGACTTTCCCCTCCCCCCCGCCCAGCTTCTAATGAATACAGCAGAAGTGATGGGGTGTTCTCCCTGAATTAAGTTATAAAAAGACTGTGGCTTCTTACATGCTGGGTCGTCTCTATTGGATTGCTTACCTTGGAAGAAGCCAGCTACCACAATATGAGCAACCCTATGGAGAGGCCCATGCAAATGAGCTTGGAGGGTGTCCATCTGAGGCTTTCCAAAAGCCATGCGAGTAAACTCAGAAACAGATCCGCCCAGTCACTTTAGATGGCCACACCCTGGCAGTCACTGAGAGAGCCTGAGCCAAGACCAACCAGCTAGGCTGCTCCTAGTTGTTTTTCAACAAAGGAAACTTTAGTTATTTGTAAGTTAATAACTAAAATAGACTTTGGTATATGGAAGTAGGGTGTTGTCTTAATGGAAAAAAAAAAACTTAAAATTTGAGAATGATTTTGGAATTTATGAGTGGCCTTGAGAAGAGTATTAGTAAAGACGGAAAGCATCTTCAACGTGCTGTTGGTAGCATTTTGAACTTTGAGGGCACTGAGTAAGCTCACACAACAAAGTGAAGAAAATATGATTGAAAATTGAAAGGAGTATTCTGGTTATTTAGTGGCAGGAAACTTAGTAAGAGAGTTCCTTGCAGCTATGTGGAAACTAGAAAATGCATGTAATAAACTCCCTGATCTAGATAAGAAAATCTCCATCCACAGTATTTGAAGTGCAACTGTTTCTTCTTTCCATTTAGTACATTTTTGTTTGTTTGTTTAGACGGAATCTCACTCTGTCATCCAGGCTGGAGAGTGCAGTAGCAAGGTCCTGGCTCACTGCAACCTCCGCCTCACAGGCTCAAGTGATTCTCCTGTCTCAGCCTCCTGA